TGTTTCAGTTCTTACGGTTTTATGGTTTATGGTGCAATACATCATTATAAAATCAGTCATGAACTGTCTTCTAGATGTCCTTGTTCTACAAACAGTTAACAGATCGGATCTGATGGACCAGATGCATCATATGATACATCTCTTTTACTAGTCGTTTTTAAAGTAATGAAATTTGAATCGAGAAATATGTCATGAAGATCAAAACGCAATAATAAATGTCATAATAGATCTGATAGGGATAATCACAAACAGTAATATCGATTGCCCTTGAAGGGGATAAAATGAGAGAATACAAAGATTAGCAGACGACAAGCTATTCTTATCTGTGTGTCTCACTGTATAAATCTTTTGTAAAATTGTAGGTTTAACAGTTATTTTAAATACTTTGGTGTCAAAAGATGTGTTAAGTATATAATGTGACGAAGCTAAGATCCAATGCTTTCCATTGGTGTAATAAATTTTAAAATCGAACATCACAACAAACTAGCGGTTTAAAACGGCTTAATTTGTATTGTTTTAGCATAACAGATATCGATTTTACTAGACGATAAGGGAAACAATTCGTATTTTTTCACTCGATATAACTCGGTTAGTTACGTAGTTCATATCGAAAGTGTTTACATGGTTTGTGAGTGCATTGTCGGAAGAAAGAAGGCGTTTCCGCTCGGCGACTTTACATCAAGACTTCGCTGGGAAAAATTTGAAAAATATCCGAGTCCGTTCAGATCATTTTATTAGCGGTAAAATGTGTTTAATTTTTGACGTCAGTATATCATTTGCGGCAAACTAAGACGGCCTGCAGAAAGCGCAAAGAATGGCAGACCTTCCGAAAGATCGAGTACAACCATCTCCGCTTTTTGCCTGTTGTGGGATCAACGGGTTCTTGTTGAACAAACAGTTGGACTTTAAGTTATTTGCCCCAAGCGCAAGTCATACTTAATTATCAAACAATATAATCCTATAATTGTTATTTTGAGAGAAGTTTGCTTCCGATTATTTTATTTTCAGATGTTTTATATTTAGGAAGTAACATGATGTAAGGAAAGATCAAAACGCAATAATAAATGTTCATGCACCAAGTTGCTAAACAATACATTGTTATTTGTGCGCGCTTCGGTTCCTTACGGTACGTAAACAGTATTTTGGCCGATGGAAGTACAGGAAGGAAGTTTATTTCCATTGTTACTAAAATTGATATATAAGAACTTACTGACAACTTTATCCATTTAAAAGAAACTTCAGTATCTTGAGATATACAGCCCGATATCGCCCTTACAGTCCCATTTTTTGTATCTTCAAAAAGAAGGGGCTCATAGTCTGTAAATACATTAATTAATTAATTAATTAGTTAATTAATTATGGAAAAAATACGGTAATAATGTAAGAACAGAATTGTTTGATCATTTGGTGTTATATTCTTAGTGCTAAAAAGTATGCTTAGCCTGTCTCTATATCTGAGAGAAAGAAAGACATTGGGCTAATTCCACAGAACACGTTGTAATATATTCTTCCTGACACAACAATGAATATAATGTTTATTCTGTGTATTACACATTTCAGGACAATCATACGAAAACTAGACATACATTAAATATATTGATTATGCTAACCTGTAACTTTTATAATTTCAGAATCGCTGTCAGAACCGTCTGAACAAATCAACTTTCTCCCGTTGTCTTCCTTGGTTATCTCTGTAACTGTTAAATTGAATATGCCATGTCTATCGTATATAAAACTGTATTGTCCTTCATAGACAGGGGTTAAAAAACATTTATTTTGTGTACATTTTACAATTGGTATAACATCGGTTGCATTCATCCACGAAATGGCAAATCTGCTCTTCTTAAAGTTACAAGTAAGGGTAACATTTCTACCACATTCATATGACATCTCACCAGTCTCATTACCGGGTTTTTGTATAGAAATATTTCCGCCTGAAAATAAAAGAAAACAAATTCAAAACAACTTAAACGTTTTGAGAGTTTATCAATATTAGTTAAGAATAACCAAACGTATGAGGTTTGAGCATAAGAAATGAAAATTGAAACTCAACAGAAAATGACTGTTGTGCAATTTTCAATGTCTGAAACGATAGATATATGCTGTTTGAACTATACTACAGTCATATCTTTGGATTAATTAAGTAACGGTGAATGTGTTGTAAGTAAAACTCCCATACACCCAACTTAAACGTGTTCAGATCGAATATGACCATGAGAGGTAATATTTGTTATATCATCCTGGGGTCATAAAATTTATACAAATCTTGGTATTCAGTATAGTACAAATTAATTTCACTGGAATAATTCTGGCTAAAGTAACCATTAAGTGTCTATTTGTACGAATGTTGTTACAGGTTACCCGTGTTTCTTTTGATTATATGTGTTTTTTTATATAATTGAAATTTTAGGTTATATCGGAAGATAATAAAATAGATAAGGTGTGAATGGCATAAAAAGTTCTCGGATACCCATTATTGCCGTAACAGCCACGTGATGTTTATGTCATATGATTTAATTGTGTTTTAACAGATACGAAAAGAAAAAAAAACATAAGACAAAGCTATGTTATCTTATATCGTATCAAAACAAATATTTACATGTATCTTTTATGCTAGTGTCAAAAGATTACGAAACAAAAAGTGTAAAACCTTTGTTATGTTTGTGTCAATCATAGTTTTGTTTATACGAATTTATTTTAGTTCGACTGTGTTGGAGTCTATAAGTTTCTTGAAAACTCTCGGTTCCGTTCATGGAATGAAACAGAACAAAGCAATGAGTTTAATTTCTTGCTCATTTAAACAAAGGCTTGCCCCTGACGGGGTTGAGTAGTATAGGGGTCGGTTTGGCCCCAAGACTGCGCATGCGCGGCGCCATATTGGATTCTTTATTTAAAATGACATCATCGTTCTATTTTTAGAATGACATCATCGTTCTATTTTTAATCTCCTGGAAGTATACGGAGCTGACTCGTATACACGATCCTAGCGCTTGAATCGCGGACATTGAAGGTCAGGTCCTCGGTCCTAGACGGAGAGATAAATATCATCATTTATAAAACAAATGTCTGTAAATAAATACCTGCTTAACATTTTAATTAATAAAAGCAAATAAACTAGAATTTAAAAAAATACAAATAGCTTATGTTTTTAATATGGTCAAAATAAATAATATACATTGAATAAAAATAGTACTTGTTTACTTCTAGGCGGCCCGAAACCAAATGACACAAATCATCAGTGTATTATTTCTAAATACTCTGATCACGAGTGTATCAAACGTGATCATAGTCACAGTGTCTGGCGTATGTTTATTTAGGGACGGATGTGCGGACAATGCTCCATTCAACTGTCAAAGTTAATCTCTTTAAAGTCGCCACTTGGTCTGGCGTATGTTTATTTATGGACGGATATGCGGACAATGCTCCATTCAACTGTCAAAGTTTATCCGTCTAAAGTAAAAGCGGGTTAGCAATAAGCTATTGAAGTGTCAGTTTACCACTGGGGCATAAGTTTAAACTCATTTTGGAAAAGAAATGCCAACATGTTTTTAAAACTGATCACCACGAATGTGCAAAATTATAAAAAAAACTATTATCAATGGTATCTAAAACCGACGAAAATACAACAGAAAAAACGTTTTTCGTCTTTTGTGCAACATTTTACGATATACATTTTGATTTTTTTCGCATCAAATGATAGACCTGCCAGAATGCTTCGAAATAAACCCTAGGTTCTCGATTCGATTTTTAGCCGTTCTCGAGTTATGGCCCTTTAGCGATTTTTAAACCATTTTTTAAGTCCATAAAACACTTAGATTTATATACCGTTTGAAAGATCTCTGCGAGTAGATACAGAAAATGTATTATTATATGGATCTATCTTTTACCGTTTCTGAGATAGGAATATGGCAGACAAAATCACTCATGCGTATAAATACGTATAACTTTTTCGTTACTGGACATAACATAGGCATGTTGCATATCAAACGAAAGGTCTTGACAAATGCTACAAGCTCGTACTGTCAAACCGGAAGTGAAATCACTCATGCGGCGTAAAAATTATTAAAATAACCAAAATAAGCTTTCCCCCAGTCTTTACTCCTCGCCTATTAAACTATTTATGAAAAGTTTCTATAGCCTATCGTTAAACGGTTCAGTTACGACAGGTTAAAACCGGTTTTGCTATTTTTGATCAGCCAATGAAATTGAAGAACGATGACGTCTAAAAATAGACAGCCTCGTTTTGAACCCACTCTTTTTCATCAACCAATGAAAAGTGGAGAAGCATGACTGGATACATTTTGACATAATGTATCTAGAAAAAAACGCCTTTTTGTCTTTTATGCAACACTTTACGATATTGATTTTCAAAATATTTGTTTCATTTGATAGACCTGACCAAATGCACCGAAATAAACCCTAGGTTCTCGATTCGATTTTTAGCCGTTCTCGAGTAATGACCCTTTATTGGTTTTTTAAACCAATTTTTCAAAGTCCATAAAACCCTTAGATGAATTTACCGTTTGAAAGATCTCTGCGAGTAGATACAGAAAATGTATTATTATATGGATCTACCTCTTACCGTTTCTGAGATAGGAGAGTTTGAATATGGCAGACAAAATCACTCATGCGGAAAAACGCGCATAACTTTTTCGTTTATGAACGAAACATAGTCGTGTTTGGTATCAAATTGGCGATCACGTGGTTGTTTTGGCGGTGGTGGTGGCGATTGTGGTGGTGGTGGAGATGGTGGTGGTGGTGGAGGAGCAGGAGATGAATAGAAGACAGAATCTGTTTCCAATCATACATGTTTATTGATAAAATATTTGCAGAAAAACATATTCTTTTTTAAACACACGTATTAAAATCTGATTGGCTGCTATTTTTGGCATGACGTTATTCAACTATTTATGTTATAAATAGTCACGTGACCAAAATCATTGGTCAAATAATCCTTCTGTCTGATTGGTTACATTCAGTCCGTAAGAAAAGAGAAACTGCTGTTAGATTGGACAATGTCATTTCTAAATTTAGATCAGCGCATGCGTATAATGAATCGCAGTGGTGACTTCAGTCATTTGGCGATTGGACGTCATAGAGTAAACATCATTACGCAGTAAGTTGAGTTTATATTTCAAGTACAGTATTTTCAATGAAGAATGTTTAATAGATATAGAGCGCTTATGCACTAGTGATTTTTAGTCCGTATTCATAAAGAGCGCCTTAAAACATTTCGTACAATACCAAACATGACCGGGTTATATTGACTAAGGAAGGCGTAAATCCACATTTTACGCTTGAGTGATTTTACTTCATTTCTCGGGCCCTATCCGAATCAGCGATACAAAAGTATACATTTTCTGAATCTAGTGAGTAATACCTTTCCGTCGATACAGGTATTGATAAGATCGGTCCGTTGGTTGGGGGAAAAAATGGATTTCACACACAAGTGACTTGACATCCGGTTTGATCGCGTGACTAAAATGTTCTCGTCAAGACCTTCAATTTGATACCAAACACGACTATGTTTCGTTCATAAACGAAAAAGTTATGCGCGTTTTTCCGCATGAGTGATTTTGTCTGCCATATTCAAAATCTCCTATCTCAGAAACGGTAAGAGGGAGATCCATACAATAATACATTTTCTGTATCTACTCGCAGAGATCTTTCAAACGGTAAATACATCTAAGGGTTTTATGGACTTTCAAAAATTGGTTTAAAAAACAAATATAGGGCCATAACTCGAGAACGGCTAAAAATCGAATCGAGAACCTAGGGTTTGTTTCGGTGCATTTGGTCAGGTCTATCAAATGAAACAAATATCTTGAAAATCAATATCGTAAAGTGTTGCATAAAAGACAAAAAGGCGTTGTTTTTCTCTAGATACATAATGTCAAAATATATCCAGTCATGCTTCTCCACTTTTCATTGGTTGATGAAAAAGAGTGGGTTCAAAACGAGGCTGTCTATTTTTAGACGTCATCGTTCTTCAATTTCATTGGCTGATCAAAAATAGCAATACCGGTTTAAACCTGTCGTAACTGGACTGTTTGACGATAGGTTATAGTAACTTGTCATAAATAGTTTAATAGGCGAGGAGTAAAGACTGGGGGAAAGCTTATTTTGGTTACTTTAATAATATTTTATGCATGAGTGATTTCACTTCCGGTTTGACAGTACGAGCTTGTAGCATTTGTTAAGACCTTTTGTTTGATATGCAACATGCCTAAGTTATGTCCAGTAACGAAAAAGTTATACGTATTTATACGCATGAGTGATTTTGTCTGCCATATTCAAACTCTCCTATCTCAGAAACGGTAAAAGATAGATCCATATAATAATACATTTTCTGTATCTACTCGCAGAGATCTTTCAAACGGTATATAAATCTAAGGGTTTTATAGACTTTAAAAAATGGTTTAAAAATCGCTAAAGGGCCATAACTCGAGAACGGCTGAAAATCGAATCGAGAACCTAGGGTTTATTTCGAAGCATTCTGGCAGGTCTATCATTTGATGCGAAAAAAATCAAAATGTATATCGTAAAATGTTGCACAAAAGACGAAAAACCTTTTTCTGTTGTATTTTTGTTCAGTTTTAGATACCATTGATAATAGTTTTTTTATAATTTTGCACATTCGTGATGATCAGTTTTAAAAACATGTTGGCATTTCTTTTCCAAAATGAGTTTAAAATTATGCCCCAGTGGTAAACTGACACTTCAATAGATTATTGCTAACCCGCTTTTACTTTAGACGGATAAACTTTGACAGTTGAATGGAGCATTGTCCGCATATCCGTCTATAAATAAACATACGCCAGACCAAGTGGCGACTTTAAAGAAATTAACTTTGACAGTTGAATGGACCATTGTCCGCACATCCGTCCCTAAATAAACATACGCCAGACACTGTGACTATGATCACGTTTGATACACTCGTGATCAGAGTATTTAGAAATAATACACTGATGATTTGTGTCATTTGGTTTCGGGCCGCCTAGAAGTAAACAAGTACTATTTTTATTCAATGTATATTATTTATTTTGACCATATTAAAAAACATAAGCTATTTGTATTTTTATCCCCCGCCGAAAAGGCGGCGGGGGATATAGAAATAGTCTCCGTCCGTCCTTCCGTCCGACATTTTTGTCCGGAGCATATCTCTAAAAGTATTTGAGTAATCAACTTGAAACTTCATAGGTGGATAGACCTTATTAAGGAGGAGTGCAGTGCACAAGAATAATAACTCTACCCTGCATAATTTTTGAGTTATTGCCCTTTGTTATTTTTCAAAATTGATTTTTGTCCAGAGCATAACTCCAAAAGCCTATGAGATATCAACATGAAACTTCATAGGTGCATAGATCTCACTCAGGAGGTGTGCAGTGCACAAGAATGATAACTCTACCTTTCATAATTTTGAGTTATTGCCCTTTGTTATTTTTCACACTTAATTTTTCACCTGAGTGGAGCATAACTCAAAAAGTGTTTGACATATCAACATGAAATGTCATAGGTGGATAGATCTTATTGAGGAGAAATGTTGTGCACAAGAATGATAACTCTACCTTTTATAATTTTTGAGTTATTGTCCTTTGTTATTTTTCATTCTTAATTTTTCAATTCAATTTTTTTCTCAAAAAGTATTTGAGGTATCAACTTGAAACTTCATAGGTGGATAGATTTTAATGAGGAGGGATGCAGCACACAAGAATGATAACCTACCCTGCATTATTTTTCAGTTATTGCCCTTTGTTATTTTCAGCCATCAGTATTCACATAGGTTTCAAATCTGTAATCACTATAGCCATCAGTTTTCATTACCAAAAGACCTCTTAAAATGGAATTATTCTGCTGTACTACATATACATTCTTCCAATGAGCAAACATATTCGGCGGGGGGATGGCCATGTTGACATGGCTCTTGTTTTTAATTCTAGTTTATTTGCTTTTATTAATTAAAATGTTAAGCAGGTATTTATTTACAGACATTTCTTTTAAAAATGATGATATTTATCTCTCCGTCTAGGGCCGAGAACCTGACCTTCAATGTCCGCGATTCAAGCCCTAAGATCGTGTATACGAGTCAGCTCCTTATACTTCCGGGAGATTAAAAATTGAACGATGATGTCATTCTAAAAATAGAACGATGATGTCATTCTAAATATAGAATCCAATATGGCGCCGCGCATGCGCAGTCTTTGGGCCAAACCGACCCCTATACTACTGGGTTGAATAGAGAGAAATAAAGATTCCCACAAGAAGAATGCACGGCTCGGTTTGATTGAGTCTGTTCATGGACGGTACTGTCAAGTGCAAACTACCGGCCACGCCACTAGCTACGGCTTAAACATTATTCCACATTTAATATGAAATGGTAAAATTTGGATGTTTTGAAACATCCGCAGATGTGTTCATACGGCGGTTATAATGGAATCTTCAATGGGACACGTTAGTGCCATTCCATGAAAAGCGGCGTATAGTCCCCAAGTAAAAGAATGTGTGTGCCCAAAACGTAAAAACAATGGGCGGAACTAAACAAAATTGAAATTTGAAAGGGGATCGGAGGACTCACGCGTGTAAATCATAGAAAACGTAATAACACGTCACTTTTATATATGTGACACATAAGTATCAAGAAGAGATAAGGGAACAAAAGTCATATATCTGTGACACGTGGTGTTTAAAAATATCAGAACAAATAGTCACATATCTTTGTCACGTGGTGTATATAAGCAGCGAAACAAAAATATATATCTCTGTCACGTCGGTGTTAATAGATAACGAGAGAAAAAATTGACACAAGAGCTCCATAGAATACTTGATTAATAACGTGTACAAAAAATACAAATGACATTGAATTGTTGAAAAATTTTACTAAAATAAAAATATCCCGGAACTCGGAAAATGTGAGTTTTCCCATCTTCTCCAGGGGTACTTAAGGCCTCAATAGACGGTAGGATTTAGTTGTACAGCACTAATTAGAGATAAGATGTACAATTTTCAAAGCTTTAAAACACTTGCATTCAGACGGTAATTCTACACTGTAAGAATCATCTGAGGTTTCCCCTAAAAAGGATCCCTTTACATTGATCCTTTACATACTTTACTCACTAAATACTTGTTTCGCCATGAGTAATGATTGAAACACCTCCATTTAAAAATATATATATATTTTTTTAATGTGAAGCCTGGCCGAGACTCAAACCTAGGACCCTCGGAATACCGTACTGCGGCTCTACTGACTAAGCTATCTGGCCGCCTACAAACGTCCACTCCCCTAATTAGAGAACAATTCAATACCGTGACATAATCATTTTCGAAACATTTGGGATTCGAACATAACACAACTTTGGGTCTCCTGAAGAGTTTTTCAACATCATTTTTATCCCATCTTACTACTATGTTTACCTTTTAGCCCTAATTGTTCTGGAATTTCATTCATTACACCCATTATCAGGAGATAATTTGGTTATCTGTTACTTGTCATTGTGGGAGGTCTGTAAAAAATCTGTACGACAAGATTTTCAAAATAGAACATGTCCTATCCCTTACATCTAGACTTTAGGTTTTCGAAATCAAGAAATAGTAACCTTCACACATGAAGATTTGTCTAAACATCTTAGTTTTAATTGGTGTTGTACTCTAAAATCCTACCGTCTGTTGAGGCCTTTAACAAACACACAGCCACACTTTGAAAATACTTTGTTTATCGACAATATGGTAATAAAACATTAGTCTTACCTGTAGTGAAATTTAATATTTCAAATACAATTAATGTTGTAGGTACTAATCCCTGCCAAACCATTTTGTACCTTTCTTTTCTTACACCTTATGCTAAATGCACATTCTAATTTCCTTTACAACGAAACGAAAGATGATATATTTAAAGTTTACTACAATATGTATTTCTGACATGTTGCCAAAAATACAGGCGACTTTAACAAGCATGAACGATATCTTATAATGAGATGACATTGTAAACAAGTTATAAACCGTACACGATGGTAAATATAATAATACAAAACATTGGATGTTTTCATGTCGGTTGAATATTGTTTTACGTTATTGATTTAACTTCTCTAAACTTCCTATAGAATTCGAAAAACATTCCAATGTTATTGATTTTCAACGATCTATAATTATTAATGAAAAATGATAGGTATGAAAATATACCCGATTATAATAAAAATAGAGGAAATTTATGAAATAAACTCGTAATATACGTAAGAAATATATTACACATAGTGAAATAAATGCGTTGTGCTACAAGTGTGTGCCTTATTTTAATATATAGTCAAGTGGATGCAATGAGTTCTTTCAATTTAATCATGTCGAAACAACTTAAAAATGCAGATGAATGTCAATATACAAACATATATTCTATCAAAAAGCAAAGGACTATATCGATTTGAAGTTTTATATTTGTAGACCTTTTATTCAATAAAATGACAAAAATCTATCAAAATGTTATTAGTATTGGATTACCCTTTTGTTCAAACTATTTTAACAAACTTTACATATCAATTACATTTTACGCTATGCCTTGTGCTTAAACATCGGACATGCTGAGGTTTAAGCAGATACTTAGAAAATAACCAATAATACATGTAAATTTGCCAATTTAGCGTGAGGGCGACTTAGATATTATTTTGGCTTATTCTTCTAAGCTACGTACGTTTCTGTTTTTCATTTAACTTTAAAGGAAACGGAGAGCTTCATCATTTTTATCTTCATTTCATTTGTAATCGCGGGCCAAAAAAGGATCATTTAATCGAGAATAAAACTGTTGAAATTGACTTTGAATTAGTGTCTCTATCTAACATGAGCGCGTGAAGTAAAGTCCACTAGACACAGCGCGGATATCAAAAGCTGTCGTGCTATAACTTCTCTTTCACATAGAATCATTAACAAACAAGATGTTTTTCGGCGGGAAAATGTAAATTATAAAATGAATATTAATTAATTGCCGTAGAAAGTGTTGTAACATGTCATTTCAATGTCATAGTTTACTGTATTATGTTTATTTATTGGCATTTAAGCTTTAAGATACTGGAATAATTACAAGAGCTGTCAGTAGGACAGCAACGCTCGACTATTCTAAGTGCTTGATAGTAAAAGAGCCTTGATAATATAAAATTTTCTGAGTTAATAACAAAAGGACAAAAAATTTCTTTAAATCCACGTTACAGTTATAGCCCTTGGAGAGAGTCCTATTATGCTCTCAAAAAAGAGTATAAAATTTCAACTTGTTTCAATAGAAAATGAAAAAATCTGAGGTGGTATGCAAACCTTAATGTAAATTTCAAGTTGAAAAAGGGGCATTATTCTGTCAAAATGCTTGATACAGTTACCTCCTCCTGTCTACAGGTTGGGGTTATAATAGTGAACAAGTGTGGAAAGTTCCAAAGCCATATGTCAATGGACTTTGAAAATATTTGAGGAATTACAAAATCTTTAACATAAATTCTAAGACGAAAAAGGGGCATAATTCTGTCAAATTGCTTGATAAGTTACCTCCTCGTGTCTACAGGTTGGGGTCATGATGGTGAACAAGTGTGCAAAGTTTCAAAGCCATATAACTTTAACATAAGTGGTTACGCCGACGCGGACTCCGACGCCGACGCTCGGGTGACTACAATAGCTCTACTTATTCTTATCGAATAGTCGAGTTAATAAATAACTTTGGAATATTTTATTGTAAGTAAATACATTCAATAAGCCAGTCATATTGTTTTTTCTTAATATCATCTGAAACAGCTCAGAAAAAAGCAACAGTTTTTTTTACTTTCTTTAGCTTCTAATGATATATTTCCTCCTTTTTTTATGTATCACTGTATTTTGAGAGACACATGAGTATCTATCTGTATAATCAATATTTAGCTCATTTTAATTATATTAAAATTGATATATTTGATAAGAGAAATCGCGTTCTAACACAAATAGACTAAACTAGAGCGGTAATCCGTTATACTTTATTGAGTTATTCAGAAACAAAAGCAAATCTTTCTCCATGTTTCTGCTAATTACATTTTTTGACGTTATTTAGCCAAATTTTCTGTAGCTGCCCCTAAAAAAGGCCAACATGGCAAAATTGAAAGTGTTGCCTGTTCATAGACGGTACTGTCAAGTGCAAACTACCCCACGCCCTCTAGCACCGGCCTAAGCAGAATTCAACATCTAACATTTTGAACTTTGAAACATCCGCAGATGTGTTCATATGGCGGTTATCATGGAACCTTCAGTGATACACGTTAGTGCTATTCTATGTAAAGCGGCATATGGTCCGAAAGTAAAAAAAATGCATGTGCCCTAAACGAGAAAACAATGGGCGGAACTAAATAAAATGGATTTTTAAGGGGATCAGAGGTGTTGAAGCCTGCATGCCAAAAGACAAATTTAAAAAGCAGACTACATATCCTAAGGGTGATTCAACAGTATTCAAGTGAGGAATACTGGAACCACTTAACACGAAAATAGCCGAAACCGAAAAGAAAGACTAAATTAAGTTTTACTTAATACGTTTGAAACATTTGTCATGTTTACATTAACGGGTGCGCGGGAAATCACGTGACGGAAAATGTACTTTTGACTGTACGGGTAATGGTTTACACGGTCGTATGGCAGAAAACGGCCTTAATTAAATTCGACTAAGGCGTACGACCGTGTTCATAAAATGACCCTTTTGATAATCGCAAGTTTGGTCGTTAGTACCCGTCTTTGTTGATAAAACGGCTCTATTAAGTATGACTGGTCATAGTTTAAATTCAAAACTGTACGTTATTAATAATGCCCGATTTTTTTCAATTGTTATCTCCCATTGCCAAAAGTTGCAGACTTTTTGGTGGTCAATGTATAATAAAATTGAAAAAAAATGAAAAAAAAGGTTCAACATAACAGCAGATTTAGGTAAATTATCAAATATTTTAATATATATAAAGGAAAAAATATTATCAATATGTAAAAGACTTTGGTCAATATTCGTGAATATAATATTATTATTAGATTTGTTTTTCTTATCTGGGCATATTATATGTTGGGAATGACCTTGAAAATGGCGTAATGCAATGTAGCCAGGATTAGTTTTCAGTAACACGCTTTCTTTTACTTGGGTATCGTACGCTGCTTTTCGTGGAATGGCACGTCAGTGTCACTTTGAAGGTTCCATGATAACCGCCATATGAACACATCTGTCACAGTGGATGTTTCTAAATTCAAAGTTTTGCCATTTCATGTTTAAATGTTTAATTCTGCTTAAGCCGAGGCTAGGGGACGTGGACGGTAATTTTCACTTGACATTACCGTACATGAACATGCTTAATAAACCGAGCCTGCAACATTTTCGATTTTGTCGTTTTGCACTTTCTTAAGGGATTCTTATTTTCTCTATATTATCTTATAATTTGATTTTAAACGGTGTTGCACTATGACGTGTTGTACTATGCCATATCACGGTACGTAGAAACTTAATCACATGACTCAGTCTAGACATCTGTTTTTGTTAAACTTCTGTTTGAAAGACCTTGACTCATATAGTTTTTTTTTACAGTAAGTGTAATTAGGACCCCGCAATTTAAAGGTCTTCGTTTTGGTTGTTGTTGTTGGGTTTTACGTCGCACCAACACAGTATAGTGACTTTCCAGTTTTACTGATGGAGGAATGTCTCAGGTATCCCGAGTGCATTATTCCACGAATGGACACCTGAGTAGAACCATCGACGTTCTGTCCAAAGTCCTTTTTTAGCTTGAATTCAACTACCTTAACCGATCTTAACGGACGCCCTTCTCAATTTAGTCAGAAATATTAAGATTGCAGATGAGGAAAATAATGTTGCAATGACAAACTTTAGATAATATTTGCTTATTTTGATTTACAACATTGAGATTTTTCCTTCAGATTAAAGTGATATAGTATTTTCAGTGTTGGTACTTTGAGAAGGTTTGTGTGTCTAAATCAAAACTACTGATTTTCAGCAATCCTGTTACAGTTTTAAGACAGAGCTGTTATTTGAACCTTGAACCTGTCTGTAAGTTCATCAACTGTAATTGTGTTGTTGTTGTTGTTATTGTTGTTGTTGTTGTTGTAATTGCAGATGAAAGGAAATTGAACTTCGAGTACAGATGTTAAAACAAATTATAGTTCTGCTTAGCAAAGCATGAGAATAAACATACCTATATGTTCAAGCTAAGGGGGGCACAATTCTATAAATGCTTAAGGGAGCGTCATTTAGGCAGACTGACAATAATTATGATGAAATCACAGACAATATACATGTATACAAAAAATCAGCTGCATTTACTATTATTGTGTTATAGACAAATTTAAAATATTTCAGTTTCAGAGAAACGTTGAACCTGAAGTCAAGTTTCTTTTATAGTCTGATAAGTTTACCCTGGCAAAACGAATAGAAAAGGAGTGAACGACAAGAATTTTTGACTTGTTATATAATTGATCTTTTTTCATTTTTTTCTCTGAGATGAATTTACGCGACATCTAATTTCATATGTCCATTCACTCAAATATAAACGATTCATTCCTCAACAAGAAATTGTTGAATAAAAACACATGATGCCCTGCATCATTGCTGGGCAGTGTTTCTAGAAACGGATTAAACGTTACAAAATATATAGTCTGGAATTTCCAATGTTTTCCTTCACATTCTTCTTCCCCTCCTCCTCTGCTGTACCATTTGATGTTGTGGATAGAAGACTGCATCCTTCAGAAACAAAAACAAAACAGCGTGCCATGTGATATTTCATTTCATAAAATATATATCTAATTAACCAATCTCATTAATATAAAATCATCGTTACTCTTTGATCTTCCCTACCTAGCGAAGGGTAGTGGAGCGATAATTAGGATATGGCTTTAATGAGTTTGCTAATTAACATAGTTTTTAACATAACATCTTTGAAATGTGTATTGAAAAATGCTAACAGTAAAGCTATAGTTATTGATTGATTGTTACTTTTTAATAATATTTTAAGTATCACGAAAAAACGCTTACATTACAGATAGGTAATTGATTGATTGATTGATTGATTGATTGATTGATTGATTGATTGATATAGAAAGCTACTTACAATTACAAAAATGGATGCCATTAGCAATGCCTTTGACCTCACATCGAGACCTAATGGAACTGTAAGAGCAATTAGCATTTTGATAAATAAGAACAGTGAAACTAATATGGGCAAAATAACGTCCCCTTGCCTAAAGCCTACAGTGTCTTAAAAAACGTCGGAATAGGTATTCAACAATGCAACACAAGACTTTTAACTTTTAATATAACTTAACAGTGTCTTTTTTGATAATTAAGTCTCCATTCAGAGTTTGACAACATTGAAATTTTTGTTGCGATTCAATTTCAACATAAAAAAAACTTTCCGCCCATCGAACTTCACATGTATACAACCTATGAAAACATCGTTTACATTATCAAAATAACATAACACATGTTTACTCGTATCTTTAACATTGTTATAGTGGCTGATTTGCGTCATGTCTTATTGTCGCTCCGCGGGGAGCCGGACGAAAACACGAAAATACAAAAAAGTCACTACTTAGTCGTGTTATAGTGTTTTAGCCTTGCAACCGCTCGGCAAAACTACGACAAAGTGGTGACTGTGTCATATTTTCGTTATTTCGCATTTGTGCCCTGCTGAGTAAAGTATTGATTTTGTCGTATTTTCGTGTGTTCGTCCGTCGCCCGGGGAGAAAATATGACATGGCACAAATCAGTCACCATAAATTATTCTTTCATTTCAGAAACAATTACTCTAGATAAGGTACAAAGATGCACACTAAGGATATTTTTTTCTATGAAAGTACTTGATTGTTTTACTCAATTTGTTATTTTTCAATTACTCTCTTTTGGTCAATTTCAATGTTATTTTGTGCCAAATTTAAGTTTCTGATATCTTGAACTCAAAAACATGAATTTTTAGAATTGAATATCGTAGCTGTTTATCATTTTATTTTTCTATTTTTAGTGTGAATTTATCTTGTATTTAGAAACAATAATCTAATCAGACATAAATGTACATCATAACCCAGATTCTTACAATTTCAAAACTAAAATTTAAATGCTGAAACTATCAAGTGACAAGTAGTTTTACATTTAAGGTTGAAATCCTTCTGTCTGTAATAAAAAATC